TTTATGTCGCCCTGACAACAATACCAAGTTGCCACAAGGAAGTCAACTAATTTGTATAAATCGAACGGAGACTGCGACCATACCGTGGGCCACACCAAATTGGTCTTCCTATCTTCGAGGAAAATAGTTCGTCTATTTGTCCCTGCCAAATAGCCTAAGGAGATATCGAGTCACAGTGCATTGATATAATATTCAGCTCGGTGTCTGAGCCTTGATCCCGAAAACCCCTTCTCAACCCAAAAGTATGGACGGGAAATCATCCAATGGCATAATTATATATAACATTTAGAGCTTATAAGGTTATAATAATACCTGAAACTACTGAAGCCTGTCAGCTGATTTAACAAAAACTTTCTCTGAGGCTTTATTCAAGCATAACTTAGATCAAGTTAAATGAACAAAACCAATTAGCATAAAAATTTGCCCACCCTTATTTGCCGACTTAATTGCCTTTGGAACTCGAAAGGTCAGTCGGTCCTGCATGTCGCAGGGGACCTGCGATTGCAACAGTAGACGGGCCTGCCCTGCTGGTAGGACATTTTCGTCGTTCAGCCAGACTCGTGCCAGACAACCTTGCCGCTTGATCATCAGTTTGTGCGGTCTTCTGGCCTCCGATTCCAGGCTCCCGTTAGTGACATTGACGTTCCTTGTCCTCTGTTCCTCGACAGAAAGTTTGGGATGAGCCAAGCTAGATACGTGTACACGACTGAGCTTCTGGTCGGGCCTGACTACAAACACTCGGTTGAGACAGGGTGGCAACATTACGAAGGGCTCAATGAGCAATTCGAGGCTCGATGGATTCACTAGAGCCCAGTGCAGTTCATCATTCGTCTGGAAATCACAAGTAGCAGACGAGCATGGAAATGAAAACAAAGTTTACAAAATATTATGAGCAATAAATGCCAAGTTGTCCAAAAATGTATAATAACTATTTTTAAATTTCGCTTAGTTAACTAGTTTAAATCAAGAGACCAACTTACACCAGACAAATAGGCTTACAAGCCGAAAGACCTAGTCACCAATGATCGTTTAAGATAAGGACGAAAAAATGAATTTTTTTAATGTGGAGACTATCATTTCGTATGGAAGTATATGGTGAAGAGATTCGTAAATAGGCAGCAACAAAAGACGTTGGCTGATTTGCGTTGTACTGCAGCCCTTTGGTCTTAATACAACGTTCAGGTTGATGCAGTCCACAAGACATCCTCCAACGTTTCGGGCGAAGGCGGGCTGAGTTCGCATTCGTCATGTAATGAACATCGTCAGAGTTGGGGCTCATTCTTATAAAAGTCTCAAGTTAACACAAAGTCAAGAAGACTAACTGAATTTTCGCTTAATGCTATAAATACTATTTGCGAGCAAAATGTAAGATATAGATGAATATAGAAATACTTGGTTGATACACGTATACTCGAGTATGTCCGTGTGTAGATGTATGCTAAAATCTGTACCTAAAACCGGTCATAACTCAAAGTAATTAGAGAAAACCTCAACGTCTGTCCCGGGTTAT